GACATTTTCCATGTCCTTTTGAAAACCACTCATATGTATGGGTTTCAAAACTTTTTGCACCAAAATAAGCTGCTGCTTCCATTTTCCTGCTGGAATTTTGAAGTCCTCTTGCATACATGGCTCTGGCACCAATGGCAGCTGACTTGCCTCAATTCTTTGCCATCAGAATGATGAGTTACAATTCAGAAACATAAAAGTAGGGGTCGGTAGGGCTGGTGCAATGGCTCAGCTGGCTCATCTTCCAGCTTACAGTGCTGACATCTCATATGGGTGCCAGTTCATATGAGATGAATCAATCCAGCTCCCTGATTATAGCCTGGGAAAGCAGCAGAGGATGGCTCAAAGTCTCGGGATCTTGCCTCTGTGTGCAAGATCTGGAAGAGGCTCCTGGCTTCTGGCTTTAGATCAGCTCAACTCCAGCCATCACTGCCATTTGGGGAGTGAACCAGTGGTTGGGGGATCTTTTTGTGTGTGTCTCTCCTTCTCTATGAATCTGTCTTTCCAATAAAAATAAATACTTAAACGGAGGGAGGACAGTAAGGCAAGGTTTATGAAGTATATTCTAAGGGGAACACTGACCAGTTGAGAGGTATGTAGCACCTTTTCTTACTGCGTTGGGTTTTTAGCCCTAAAATGTGAGAGATGTTGACTGCTGATGGGGCCGTGATGCTCATGATGGACATTGGTGAGTGACAGATGGGAGCTGCCTACCATGGGACTCTCTGCCTACGTCGCTGTGAACTAGGCTGTTCTGACTGGCCCAAGCTCCCATTTTATCAGGATGTATTCACCAGTAGTTAAACTGCAAAGGGTGCTGTCTGGGCAGAGAACAGGGTGCCTGATTTTACCCCTGGAGGGGAGGGTCTTGTGGCACCTCCACCGTCGTTTGGGTCTAACTACCTAACTTGACAGCTTGCCCCTCACTTCTTGTAATCTTTCATTAAATCCTTTCATTTCATTCCTAATTGAAATGCCCTGACCCCTCCGTATAAAATTGAAGTATTCCCACCTCTCCCTGTGACCCTTCCGGAATGCTGTATCCCACTCCCTGGATTCCTTTGTCTCCATGACTCTCATCACTGGATCCCAGACTTTGTATTTGGATATTTGTTTTGATTATTGCCTGCGTTAGCCCCACTACAAAGCAAGTTCAGGGCATGGATTTTTGTTTGTGCATTGCCGGACATAATAGACCCTGAATGGACTGAACGACTTGGATGGTTGCCAGCCACTGCAGTGAACGTTGGGGAGTGCTTGTCTGTGTCACATGTCCTGGAGGACAATGACAATAAACATGACCCCAGCCTCACCCAGCAGGAGCTCATTGTGCAAGAACTACAGAAGCGACAGGAGCATGAATACTTAGGAAATAAATGTATAATCATATCAAGTAGGAAAGAAAATATGTCAAAAATAAACAAAACGTAAAATGTCACACCTCTCCAAAACGCTATGGGAGAGCAGGTGAAGGAAGAGCTCGTTCCAGTTTATTCAGTGAAGATGCCCTGTCAATCACAGGGTTTCAATATAGTACAATATTCCCCGGTACTCATTTTTGAAAATGCATTCCTTTTTATTTTTGTTTGTTTATCTGAGAGGGAGAGAGACTGGGAGTCCTCATTCACTGGTTCGCTAACCGCATATCTGCAATATCTGGGAATGGGCTGGGCCAGTGCTGGGATCCCAACACTCAACCCAGGTCCCCATAGGGATGGCAGGTGCCATAGGGGTCTCCCACATGGGTGCCACCCATAGGGATGACACTGCTTCCCAGGGTCTGCATCAGCAGGAAGCTGGAGTCAGCAACTAGAGCACGGACTCAAACCCAAGCAACTGACATGAGGGGCATAGTGACATAACTCCTAGGCTAAATGCCCACCACAAGAACAGCTTTTTGGGCCCAACACAGTAGCCTAGCGGCTAAAGTCCTCGCCTTGAGCGTGCTGGGATCCCATATGGGCACTGGTTCTAATCCCAGCAGCCCTGCTTCCCATCCAGCTCCCTGCTTGTGGCCTGGGAAAGCAGTTTGAGGATGGCCCAAAGCTTTGGGACCCTGCACCTGCGTGGAAGACCTGGAGGAGGTTCCTGGCTCCTGGCTTCGTATCGGTGTAGCACTGGCCGTTGTGGTCACTTGGGGAGTGAATCATCAGATGGAAGATGTTCCTCCCTGTCTCTCCTCCTCTCTGTATCTCTGACTTTGCGATAAAAATTTTTAAAAAAAGAGAGAACAGAAAATAGGGAAAAAAATAAGTAAAAGCACTCTCCTACTCAGGTAAACAAAGCAAGTCTGTGATCTGCTTATGGTCTCATGGTCCCTGGGCGGCGGCCATGCTCCCAGGTCCTTTCTGATCCAGGGTCTTACCTGGAGCAGCAGCATCCTTTATGCTGTATCCCACTCCGGGGGTCCCTTGGTGAAGACAGCGCAGCCTCTGGCACCTTGGGGGTCTAAACGGCTTTGTTTATTCTTCCCACATCGCTGCCCATGAGCATTTGCCCGAAAGGTAGAGGAACTGCCATGATGGAAGCCTGATCACTGAGGGGCTTACCTGTTACAGCAGCTAGCATCAGCAATACACACAATGACTCATTCCTGCAGAGGCCCCTAACTGCAGATTCTCTCTTGTCCCCTAAAACATATCTTTGACAGGTAAAATTTAAAATGGCCTTCAGTTCTAAAGGGACAGTTCTAAAGATACTTATTTGTCTTCGCAGACTGTCCCATGACAAAATTTTCCAAATCCCAGGCCACTTATCAGGCAAATGCAAGGGAAACAAAACAAAACAATGCCTTAATTTCCTGCTCTGAAAAACAAAACAACAAAACAAAGCAAGATATATGATTTGGGCTGAGTGCTGGATCAGTCTAGCTAGTCCTTAGCCTGCAAGCACAAGCATCCCATATGGTCACAGGTTCCAGTCCTAGCTGCTCCACTTCCTGATAATGTGCTTGGAAAAGCAGACAATAGCCAAAGTGTTTGGGCTCCTGCACCCATGTGGGAGACCTGGAAGAAGTTCCTGGTTCTTGGCTTCACACCAGCCCAGCTTCAGCTATTTAGGGAATGAACCAGTAGACGAAAGTGCTTAACTTCATGATCCCCAATCCCAGTTCCAGCTTCCAGCCCACACAGGTGCTGGAGGCAACAGCGGTGGTTCATGCATCGGCCGCCTGCTGCTCATGCGGAGACCTGGCTGGAGCTCCTGGATCCCAGCTCCAATCCTGGCCCAGCTGCTGCTGTTAGAGAGAGGTGGGGCGTGAATCATTCTCTCTCTCCCCACTCAGATAAACTTTCTAAAGAAACCATAGCGGCTCCTGGTTTGTTGCCTTTCATTAGGGAACTGAGATTGAGACCCCACCAAAACAAGTTGGTTCTAACAGTGTACTTGGTGAGGGGATTGAGTGCAGGTGCAGTGTGACCGCGAAGAAGGTCACCTGTAAACCCAGGAAGAAGATGTCAGGAGATGCCAGAGACCTGAACGTAGGCAACTGTGAGAAATCTCTGTTGATTAACGCGTCTCCTCCTCCCCTTTTTGTAAGATTTAATTTAATTAGAAAGTCAGATATACAGAGAGAAGGAAAGACAGAGGACTCTGTCTTTCTGCTGCTTTCCCAGGTGCATTAGCAGGGAGCTGGATGCAAAGTAGAGTAGCTGGGTCTCGAACCTGCATTCCGATGAGATGCCAGCTCAGTAGGCAACAGTTTTATTTGCTAAGCTGCAGTGTGCTGGTCGTCACCAAGCACTTCTGCAGGGTAGACAGTCCAGGTGTCTGTGGACACGAGGAAGCACAGAGCTCAGCAGCATAGTCGAGGTTGTGCAGCTGGTGAGCGGGGCAGCTGAGAATGGAGCACAGGTGTGCCCGACTCCAGGGCCCTCCGCCTGCACCTGACACCCTAGGGAGACCAAGACAGTCAGAAATCTTCATGGCATCCGCAGGGTCCGTCTCTGGCTTTTACTGTCATCAAAACAGTTATCAAGACTCTGGCATCTCCCCTCTTTATCACAAATTCAGAAACTTTTCCTGAAGTGAACTTGACACTTTCCTAACCGACCAATGAAATACACATTCTCCAACAAATGCACGCACACACTGTCTCCTGGCTGGGCTAGGCTTGCCCCTCTCAGAAACAGGCCATGTGCTCAGCCCCAGAGAGCTCTTAGCTGTCTCTCTCCCGGGCCAGGAAATTGGGGGAGGGATGGGGGGCACAGGTAGATTGTGTCCACACCTTCCCTCCATGGGAAGGGAAGGCCTCCCTGCCCACGCCTGAAGTGTATCTATCCGCCATCTCCAGAAGCAGCGGGAGGATCCCGGAAGGGCACCTGCGCCCACTCTCTCCTGCAGATGTCTCAGCCTTGGTTGCAGCACGTCTCTGAGAAAGGCAGACGACCACGGGGCTGAGGGCAAGGATCAAAGGTGGACTTGGAGGAGGCCAGCCCCAGCCCCTGCTCTAGCCCTAGGGGCCACCCTGCACCCTGTGATCAGGGCCAGCCAAGCCGGTTTCAGGGCCAGACTGTGGTGCCCTAGGGGACCAGAGACCGGGAAGCCGAGCTGGACGAAGGACAGGGAGGCTCGCCCCAACTCCCCCACTCAGAATCTCTAGGGAAAACTAAGGATTCCCGCCACCCGCCTCCGGGCCCGCCTCCCCGATCCCAGCGCCCGGGCTCCCGGGCGCACCCCGCCGACGGTGCCGGCTCTCCCGCGCCCGGCCCGCGCCCTCTCCCGGGCTGCGGCGCGCAGGGGGAACGGGGCGGGCAGGGGCCGCCGGCGCTGCCTCCTCCCACCGGCGCGCACGAGCCCTGCCGAGCCGGAGCGGGCGCAGCGCCGGGCCCCGCCGCAGCCGCGGCTTCCAGCACGGGCGCGCGGGCGAGGTGCGGCGGTGCTCCCCGGGGCGGGCGCGGGCGGCGATGGCAGCGGCCGAGCGGGGCTGAGCCCGCCCGCTCGCCTGCCCGCCTGCCCGCCTGCCCGCCTGCCTGCAGCGCCCCACGGCCCGGGCGGCCCCAGCCATGGCGAAGCAGTACGATGTCCTGTTCCGGCTGCTGCTGATCGGGGACTCCGGCGTGGGCAAGACCTGTCTGCTATGCCGCTTCACCGACAACGAGTTCCACTCCTCGCACATCTCCACCATCGGTAAGGGGCGGCGGCCCTTCCCCGAGCTCCAGCCCGGGAGGAATCGCCCGCCTGGCCAGAGCTGACGAGGGCGAGGGAGGCCCCGGGCTAAGGCACTGAAATCTCGGGCTGAGCCGGCCGCCGGCTGGGGTGTAGAGCCTGGGCTCCCGCAGGTGAGGAGGTTCCTGATGCCTGCAGCCCGGGGCCTGGGGCAGCTGTCGGGCCTCGCGCTGGCGAGCCTTTCCCAGGAATCTGAGAAAATGGGTGGGAGCGGGTATAGGCCTGGGTTCCCCCGGCGCTGGGGCAGTGCCGCCGCAGCCCCAGGTGAAGGGGAAGAGAGAGGAGAGGGGGCAGGTGGGGTTGTGGAGCCCCTGAGACGCGTCTAGATGGGGGACGGATGGGGTGGGGGGGCCGTGAGCTGCTATGGGGCCATAGTGGGGGAGGCAGGAGGAAGAGGAAGGGAAGAGAGGCCAAAGGGAGTTCCCAGGGCACAGTTATGTAGGAAAACCACAAACCGGGACACCTGGAGGAAGGTAGGTAAGGTGAGAAGCCACGTGCTGGAGAGAAACCCCCCTGCCTGCCCGGGAACTGCAAAAATATCAGGAATACTTACCAGGTCTGCCAGTGCTGCTGCCCGTGGGTAGAGGGGCAGGCCTGCTGGCACCCAGAGGAGCTCACCTGCTTTGCGAGTGGGTCTGTGCCCTTCCCCCACCTCAGTCTCTCCCTCCTTCCGGAAGTCTGACTTAAAGGATTGTCACCCCCACCTAACCCATTCCAAGCTTGGTCATTGCTGGTCCTTGGTGGGTCAGAGGGTCTGGCAGGGTCCTGCTGCTGGCCGGCAGGTGCCTCACCCCAGTTGGATGCTCTCCTGGAAGCCCCCTGCCGCCGCCAAGGAGAGCCCCCAGCCTCCTCCTGAGGATTCCTCTCGCCTCTGGACACACGCATTGCTTGCCAAGAAAGAGAGGAGGGGGAGAAAAAGCAGAAGGGTGCAGCCAGGAGGAACAGAACCTGGTGGTGGAGAGGAGGCTGGCTTTGTTGTCACGAGGACCCACAGTCCTCACTTGGGGGCAATGTAACCTTGACTATGCCTAGAGCTCCTGAGCTTTAGGTTCTCATCTGTGGAATGGGCGGAGGACCCAGGGCTTGCCTCCTGAGGCGTTGTCGGGGTTACACGCACTGCTGGTGGTAAAGCACCAAGCGTGGAGTGAGGCGTAGGTGAAGTTGGCTGTGTGCTGCGTCGTGTTGTTATTGTTGTCACTGGCATTAAGCTTTGAGGGGCTCCTTGGCTCGGCTGTCTGTGCGGAGCATGGATTGAGGGAACAGAACTTGTCTTTCTTGGGGGCAGGGAGTGGCAAGGCAAGCTCCGGAAGATCCAGGAGCTTACGGCTTGGCCACTGTTCCGATGGGCTGGATACAGACCCTGGCCTTGGCTAAGAGTAAGCAGTGTGTCTGGAGAGGGCTCCAGGCAAGGCAGGTGTGTGGAAAAGTATGGGAGTGAGCCAGGGAGTGGCTGAGGACCAGGTGGGGAATGGGAGCGGGTGGGGGACGGGTGGTGAGCTTAGGGACAAAGAGCAGCAGGTTCCTAGTTGAGGAAGCGGGCCTGGTGCCAGCAGTAGCTGGGCTCTCTGCAGACAGGCACCCTGCCTTTTGTCTGGGGAGCACTCGTCTGCACCTGGGTGTTCTCGCTATATGTCGTGTCCTGCAGGCAGGCAGGGGTGCCAAGGGGGAAAGGGGACAGGCAGGAATTGCCTCTTCGAGCACCACTTCATTCATGCCCTTCATTTCAGAAGCTCTGGGAACTCCTGTTTGGAGCTGGGGGAAACTGGACTTGCCCAGGGGACGCATGCGCCTCCCCCCACCCCCGCCCCAAGCCTACAAATGAAGGAATCTCTACCTTTTTAAAAAAAAAAGGTTTACTCATTTTTATTGGAAAGGCAGATTTACAGAGAGGAGTAGAGATAGAGAGGAAGAACTTCCATCTGCTGGTTCACTCCCCAAGTGGCCACAACAGCCAAAGCTGAGGCCGATCTGAAGCCAGGAGCCAGGAGCTTCTTCCGGGTCTCCCACACAGGTGCAGGGTCCCAAAGCTTTGAGCCATCCTTTACTGCTTTCCCAGACCAAAGCAGGGAGCGGAGCAGCTGGGACAGGAACCGGAGCCCATATGGGATTCTGGCACTTGCAGAGGGAGGATTTAGCCAGTTGAGCCACCAAGCCGGGCCTTTGAACCTCACAGGTGAATACCAGGTAGGCCAGCTCAGCCAGTCCCCGGGGCAGGCCACCCTTAGGGCAGAGGTGATTCGGGATGTCTCTACAACTCCCTTCCCCCTAAAGGCCTGCAGTCTCTTGGCCTAAACCTTGGAGTTGGCTCCCAGTATCCTCCTCTTCCTGGTGGCCCAGTGGCCCTTGTTACAGAATGCCCAGAGTGCTTCAGGAACTTGGATTCTGTGAATGATAAGGAATGTTTATTTCTTTATTTGAAAGGCAGAGAGAATGATGGAACAGAGAGCTTCTCTCTGCTGGGTCATGCCCCAAATGCCCACAATAGCTGAGGTTGTGCCCGACCGACTCCAGGAGGCTGAGACTCAACGCAGGTGTCCTGTGTGGGTGAGAGGGACATTAGCCATCACTTGCAGCCTCTCGGGTTGCCCAGTGACAGGAAGGTGCATCAGAAGCAGAGCCAGGACACAAACTCAGGTTCACTGTCATGGGATACATGCAACCCACCCCAAGTTTGGGGGATGCTGTCCCATTTTTTTTTTAAAGATTTATTTATTAGAAAGGTAGAGTTTGAGAGAGAGATGGAGAGACAGCTAGAGAGAGATCTTCCCTCCTCTGAAGCTCCTGGCTTCGGACCGGCTCAGCTCCGGCTGTTGCGGTCAGTTGGGGAGCAAACCAGGCAGGTGGAAGCTCTTTTTGTCTGTCTGTCTCTCTGTAAATCTGCCTTTCCAATAAAAATAAATAAATCTTAAAAAAAAATTATAAGGGCAGACAGGAGAAATGGGCGCTTACCCAGACCTATTTGTTAGCTGCCCATTCCATTGCAGGTGCATTCCTGTGCCTGGTGCCAATACCTGTGGATTCCAAGATGAATAATACAAGGGCACCTCAAAAACAAAATGGAGGTACTGGCACTGTGGCGTAACAAGTTAGTCCTCTGTCTGTGGTGCCAGCATCCCATATCAAAGTGCCAGTTCATGTCCTGGCTGTGCTGCTCCCTTCCAACTCCCTGCTTATAAGCTGGAAAACCATGGAGGGTGGCCCAAGGTCTTGGACCCTGCACCCACCCACGTGGGAAACCAGCGTAAAGCTCCCGGCTCCTAACTTCGGATCCTACCAGCCGTGGCCATTTGCAGCCATTGGGGAGTAGACCAGCGGATGGAAGGTCTTCCTCTCTGCCTCATCTCCTCTCTGTATATCTGACTTTCCAATTAAAAAAAAAAATTCAGTTTTCCATGAACTTTCTGAAGCACCTTTTGCACATAGCCTTTTGTCTCTGGATCTGTATCTTCTGTTTTTGTTTTTGTTTTGCCATGCTGGGCATTGAGCTAGACGCCTTTCCCAGGGGTTGGGGTTTTTGTTTTGTTTTGTTTTTTGGTGAATGGGGAAAATGAGGCAATTTACTGATTACTGCCAAGACAGAGTTCAAAGTCTTGGCTTGTGTTGCTGTCACCTTGGCTGGCACCTTTGGAATCACAGTGCCCTCCACTGACTGTACTCGTGGGCCTGCCAGGGACAAGCCTTCTAGGGAGGCGCGGGATAGACTGGTCATTGCCCTCTCAATCCTGCTCCTCTTTCTGGCCAGCGGGTGGGCAGGTGGCCCTGTGGCAGAGCTGAGCCACAGGCATTCCCTTGCTGATGCCCAAGCAGTGGTAGGACGTGAGGAAGTAAAGCGTTAGTGTTCGCTGCCTGGCAAGACAGAGAGCAGTGAACATTCCCCGCCAAGCACTGTGCCAGGCCTTTTACAGGCTGTTGTGGTGGGCCTCTCTGTCCACAGGAGTGTGTGAGAGCACTTCAGATACTTCCAGGAGTTGGGATGCCTGCATCCTATTTGCAGATGGTACCTGCGTTTAGGTCCCAGCCTTGCTGCCCATTTTAGCTTTCTGCTGAGATGCACCTAAGGAAGTGGTTGGTGACGGCTCAAGTAGTTAAGCCACACGGGAGACCCAGACTGAGTTCCCTACTTCTGATGGGGGCTGCTGCTGCAAGCATTTGGGGAGTGAATCAAAGGATGTGATCTGGGTCCCTCTGTCTCTGCCTCTCAAAAAAAAAAAAAAAGTTGTTGTAAAAATGAAATTAAGGAGGCTGACTTTGTGATACTCAGGTTAAGGTGCCTCCTGCCACACCGGCACCCATACAGGCTCAGGATCATGTTCTGGCTGCTCCACTTCTGATCCAACTCCCTGCTAATGCACCTGTGAAAATCAGCAGAAAAAGGCCCACGTACTTGGGCCCCTGCTACCCACATGGGAGACCCAGCCACCTAGGGAGTGAACCGGCAGATGGAAGATTGCGTACACTCTCTCCCTGTAAATCTGACTTTCAAATAAATTAATAAATCTTTTTTAAAAATGAAGCAAAAAAAAGAAACAAAGATAAATTTAATCCTTAACCAATTTTTCTTTATTCTTCTTTAAATTTATTCTACTTTTAGTATTATTTACATAAAGCCGCATGCTTGTGTGAGCCTCCAATTAGGAAACTAAACATTTGAAATCCATGCATAGTTTTTTTTTTTCATTATATGCATTTGCCACAAACTTTTTGAAGACCCCTTGTATTTCACATTTTTTTTCCCATTTAAATAAACTTGTGTTTTAATTGTATTTCTTTCCAGCCTTCTGAAGCATCTTTATAGCTGAGAAGACGTAGACTGACAAAATAAGGGGAAAAAAATTGCAAAATGGATACCATGTCTGAAAGTATTTGGTGAAGTCCTCTTCCAACATTAGGGCCTGCTATGGCTGACAAAGGTCTCCTGGTCATTTCAGAGGCTAAGTTGTCATGTGACTTATGCCATGCTG